TTTAAAACAATTTAAATTTAACTCTCTCTCTCTCTATCTCTCTCTCTCTCTCTCTCTCTCTCTCTCTCTCTCCTCTAGTTAAAATTACTCACATTTATATAATAACATATTTAATATTTTATTAAACTTTATAAATTTTTCAAATTTTAAAAAAACATTGCATTATAAATATTGTACTTAATTATTAAGCCTAGATCGCTTAAATAAATGTATTTATATGTTATATAATTTAATTTACATCTAGAATAAATATAATTAGCTATTGGGGGAACACAATGGTGACCAACTTATGACAACAACTCGATGCCCAGGAATGACTTGGGATACTTGCGTACAATCCATTTTCGTAACTCTTCAAACACTAGTATGTAGACAAAGAATGGCAGTCCAGCGACCCATACCTGGCCAATCACAGGTGCCGTACGCAATACCGTGTTCACGCCGGGTGTGTAGCAAAACAGTATGGCCAGCGCCGTTTCAAACACTATTGACCAGTTTAGTACCCAGTTACTATTGCGAACAATAAAAATATGGTAAATAATTTTAACAATACACCGTACAGTATATTTCATTAATTGTTAACTATGTTATAGCAATAAGTTACTAGGTCTATTTAGCTGTAGATTGATTTACTATCAATCATTTAATGTACCATTACTATTGAATCAACATGATAATATTCTAATTATTTTTTATCAAGTGTATTATACTTCAAGAACACTAAACAACTCCAGGTCATTTGTAACTAATAAAAATAAACATGGTTAATAATTATAGTGCTCACCCCATGCCGTGTTTAAAAATAGACGTGCGCCTTGTTTTGTTAACGATCACGTCCATCCACTGGGCCACCACCACCGCCATGAAATAACTACTCTGGGCTATTATTAACAATTTGTCCCTACACTCTTTGTTCTAGGTAAGATTAAGTTAAAACATTAATTATAACCATAATTTAACCAGTGTTTAAAAATAAATTACACATTGTTTTGTAGGCGGCCCATTGTACCAGTCATCGTTCGGGCCGTATATCGAGATGTTTTTGTTTTTGTCCTCCCAGTCCTGGCGCAATCCATACAACATTTTAGGCTTTAGACCCTCGTAGTTTAGCGCCACAAAGTAGCCTGGTTAGAAAAAATGATTATAAATAATATAATTATTATTATTTAACTATCTGAAGATTTTTATGTTAAGTTTTAAGAAAAACGTTAATTAAATAATATTTATTTTATTTTAAATAATGTATTGATTGTACCAAAAAATCCGGCGGCAGTACAGATGGCACCGACCAGAAAGTAGGCCCTCATCAGCAACTGGCCGGTGACTAGGCGTTCAGTTTTCGGGTTCCGGGGCGGGAGACTCATGATGTCGGCCTCGGCTTTTTCGTAAGCCTAGTGTAAAAAAATAAACCAATTAATAAAAATAATTATCAACACTAATGCTAATCTGGTAACCCTACCAGGGCGACCGCGGGCACCATATCGGTGCCCAAACAGATCAACAGCACAGTAATGGTGCCGATGGGTTGCGGGAAACCGAAAATCACGTAGATGAGAAACGGGAACAGCGTGGTAACACTGCCGGCTATGATGTAGGACACGGTCTTTTTCATGTTGTCGAATATACGCCGGCCCTCCTCCACGCCCACCACGATGGTGGCAAAATTGTCATCTAGCAAGATCATATCCGCAGCTTGTTTCGACACTTCGGACCCTTTTATTATAAGGTAAGTGTAGATTGAAATGCATTATTAGTTATTGTGTTAAAAAGGGATAGTAATACTGTAGAGTTATTACTCATATAAACAATGAATAAATTTTTATACCCTATTCAAAACACTATAGCAATAACTTACCTGAAATATAGCAACAATAACGTTTAGCTAGGCAATTTAAGAATTCATTACTAATGCAGTATAACTAACTTACTGTCAATTTATTAGAATTTAACTTATGTTATTTTAAGCAAACTTATTTTCAAATAGTGTTCTGAAACATGGTATAAAAAATTAAAACACTAGTTAATCACTAAAATCTAATCACTTTATCTGTTTTGCTTCAGTATATGTTACCTGTTATGCCCATAGCTATGCCTATGTCTGCCTTTTTCAGGGCAGGCGAGTCGTTCACACCGTCGCCCGTAACCGCCACGATCTGGTTGAGCGCCTGACAGTTCTCCACTATCCTGAGCTTTTGCTGGGGCGACGTCCGGGCGAACACAATCTCACCAAAACCGCCCAGTATTTCCCGGAGCTCCGGGTCGGACAGGGTGGTCAGCTCGTCGCCGGGCACCACTATGGACCGGGTGTTGCGCACAACTCGGTCGATGGTGGGCGCCGTTATTGATGTGGAATTGCGGTGCGAGTTTGAGAATATACCCACCGATTTAGCGATTGCCTGAGCCGTGATTGGGTGGTCGCCGGTGACCATGATCACTTTTATGCCCGCGGATCGGCATTTGGCCACCGCGTCCGGTACGGTTGGTCTGGGTATGGTTAATAAAATATTTTATCATGTTATTTTTTATTTGAGTATTTTTTAAATAAGTTGATACCTCCATTGTTTTTAACTCCCTTAATTAAAATTGTTGTTTAGTACATAAATAATGAACGTGTAGATTGTCTGTTTATTTGTTACACACGTAATTTATATTAAGTCAGTCCTGTTTGCTATTTATTTAATAAGTTACTATTTTAATTATCAATATATTTATAATTATAAACATTAATATAACTAACTTATATTGTGCGTTTAAAATAGATATTAACTCAATCTAATTGGTGGTGACTACTGAATACGATACACAATATACTAATAAACTATTACAATAAATGCAGTGCACATACCTGGGCGGATCGATCATGGCCACCAAACCCAAAAAGCGGAAACCACCCAGCTCAAACTCTTCGCCCTCCTCCACATTAAACGTATGATTGGCCGGAAACTGAGTGAACTCGTGGTCGCATAGGGCCAGCACGCGCTCACCCATCGATCCCAACTCCCTATACGTCTCCTCAAACTCGGTATCTATGAAATCACTAGTGATGGGCACAGTATGGCCCTCACTGTCCAGGCGTTGGCCACAAAGCTTGATAATACGCTCCGGAGCGCCCTTCATGACCAGAAAAAAGTGTGCCTTACCCTCAGCCCCGGTATGCGCGGAGTCGTCCGGAAACGGCACCGCATTGGCGTTAATATCGACGCTACCGTCAATTCCCGGGGCATTCCTATGGATAGAGTACTGGTATTTGTAGGTCGAGCTGAAGGGTTTCTCCGCGACTTTCGGGTAGCGCGACCGGTAGTCCATCACCGGTCCGGCCACTGACTCCATGAACCGTAATATCGCCGTCTCCGAGGCGTCCCCATTGCACACCCGCTTCATAATGTCCGGGTTATCGTCGGAAAACTCGCTCCGGGAGCACAGAATGGCACATCTCTTATACGCGGCCCAATTGTTGGCCAATCGGGGCTGCATTTGTTGCTCCACTTCGGCCCTGTCGTGACTGACCCGGTTGATACCGTAGCCCAGCCAACAATGTTCCACGGTCATACGGTTTTGCGTTAGGGTACCGGTTTTGTCCGTGCATATGGTCGAGGTAGAGCCCAGGGTCTCGACAGCTTCCAGGTGTTTGACCAGGCAATTTTTCGATGCCATACGTTTGGCGGTTAGTGTTAGCGCCACTGTCAGCGCCGGCAGTAGACCTTATAGTCGGGGTGAGACTGTATTGTTAATTTTGATTACATTTAAGTGTAGTAAACTAAATTTAACTTAAGGTAAGTTAATAATAAAAATAATCTCTATATTTATAATGATTATTATATTTTTTAGTACGAATTATCTACTTATATAAATAACCGCAAACACCCCTACCTTCGGGCACATTACCGACGGTAATGCCGATCATGAAGATGAAGGCCTCGAAGAACGTGGACCCGAACCCCATAGATATGCCAAAAAATATCACACCCGAGCCCACGGCGATCACGGTGATAATTTTGACAAACCGATCAATCTCCTTCGCTATGGGTGTCTTATCATTTTTAATACCCGACACTAGTCTCGCAATATCTCCCATCACTGTCCTGTCGCCGGTGGCCACCGCTATCCCTACACCCGACCCGTCCACGCAATTGGTCGAGAAAAAGGCCAGATTGCGCGCCTCGAGCGCTGATTGGTGGCCCACGTCTGGGTTCCGGGACAACGGGTCTGATTCGCCCGTTAGGGACGAGTTGTCAACTTTCATTGACTCGGCTTTAACGATGCGAATGTCTGCGGGCACCCGATCGCCCGATTTGACCACTAGTAGATCGCCGACCACTACCTGGTCGGCCGGTATGAACCGTTTTTTACCCTCACGAATGACTGTTGTTTGCTGTGGGTGTTTTTTTGGGTGTAGAAATTTAGCTTGTTAGTTGTGTTTGGATATTTGTTATAGATTGTAATTAATCTAGGTGTCACTTACCGGTGGTGTCATGTTTTTAAACGATTTGAACACTTTGCTACTGCTGGCGGCTTGGTAGTATGAAAATGTACCAGTTAGAACTACTGTTAATACCAGCACGATTCCTAAATACATCTAGTTTAATTAAAAATGAAGTATTATTATTTACCACAGTTAAAGGCATTTGATAAGAGATTACTACCAGGTCATAATTATTAGTAGATTAAAATTATTAATAATTTATTTAAAGTTTATATAACTAGCTAAACTACCATTCTACAAAAAATGACAGTAAATAAACGAAAACTAAAAATTACAACAATTATTCTAAATGTTAATTAACAATAAATTAATAACATTTTCTCTCCATAAGAATCATCAAGTTAAAATTGTATTGTATACATACATCTTGTTGCTCGTGGTTGAGACCAAACGCTATGAAACTAGCTATACTAGCAAACCAAAGCAGGAGGGCAAAACCCCCGGTCATTTCACGCAAGTACAGTATCCACCAGGCGGTCTGTTTGGGTGGTGTGAACGCATTGGGTCCGTCCCTCTCCAGTCGGAAAGCCGCCTCTTTTTCAGTTAACCCATTTTCCACGTCTGTCTTAAGGTGGGCGCACACCTCCCGCACCTCCATTAGGTGTTCAGTTATGCGCACATCTTTCAGCTCGACGTTAGCCTCTGTGCCCTTTATTGGCTATTGTTTGGGGGGGGGGGGGGGT